GGGGCAGCCGCGCGCGCGCACGAGGTCTTCTACGGCATCATGTTCGACGCGGGCAGCACCGGCACCCGTGTGCACATCTTCCAGTTCACGCGGCCGCACGGAGGTAGCGGGCACGGGGCGGGGCCTGGGCCCTGGGGTGTGGGCTGGGCCCCTGCCGTGGACTCCCCTGGGAGCCCCAAGGGTCCTGAGGGCAGCGGGGATCCCAGGCGTGTTGGGTGGCCTTCACCAGTGGCTGGGGTGGCCGAGATCGTGACTTAGGCCAGAGGGCACGTGGGGTGACCCCAGACGCAGACGGGAGGGAGCTGAGAGTCTGAAAGTCAGATAAGTGAGCAGAGACCCAGGAGGCAGGCTGACCCAGAGTTGCCCGCTGGGCCCCAGCCGCAGGGGAGTGACCAGACAACAGTGGCCCCAGTGAGCGGGGGTCTGGGCCAGACTGAGGGTGGGAATTGGGCATCTCTACCTGCCGGCTTCCCCCGCGGGGAGACCCCCAGCGCCTCCCTTGTGCCCTCTGGCTCGGAGGGTCCCGCTCCGGCCTCTCACCCCTGGGCGTCTCCCCGACACCCACAGTGGGGTTCCCCGTGGTTCTGTGCAGACCCTCCGACCTTCTGGGCGTTAACCGAGCTGGGGTGCCAGACCCTTCCGTAGAGCTCTCCAAAGTGGCACGTTAATCTCCTTTTTACCTGCCTTATTTTTAAACTTGTCACAGTAGTTACATGTCTGTATGCTGGACTTAAGCTGCCTCCACAGTTGGTCTTGAAGCTGAGTTGAAGGCAACGTGCATCAGCGTGTGACCCTCTAACGGCCACGTTCCTGTCATTTTCTGTGGAGAGACGTTCTCACAAGTGACTTTGGCCCCAGTTGTTCCTGCTGGGCCTTGGTGTCTGAGTTCAGACAGCACCCCTTGGCCTCGGAATGCTCTCGCTTGCTGTGACACAAGTCCAGGCCTCTAAAATTTAAAACACTCAATTTTTTAAAAAGAAGAATGGAGTATTCTTTCAGAACCTGTGATGGGTCCCTCTCGAATCAAGAACGTGATTTTCATATTTGCAGTTTGGACTCTGCTCCTGCACTCAGTCAGCATGGATTAACTGTGGTGAAATGTGACACTTTAAACGGGTGGTTTCTGGTGTGTAAATTATACCTCAGTAAAGTTGACGTTTTTTAAAAAAGGAAAGTTCTGGCCAAAACATTAAGTGCCTGCTCCTCGTGCTCAGCCAGACTGGAGAGGCGGAGTGCAGGGAGGAAGTGAAGGTCTGTTTTCAGGTTCTGCCGTAAAAGTGGGGCTGCTCGTGGTCGTGCAGAGCCGTGTGTGCTTGCGCACACCTACACCTGGACCTTTTTTAAATGTGATTTTCCCTTAGAAACTCCCACCTTGACCCGTGAAACCTTCAGAGCACTGACGCCAGGGCTTTCTGCTTACGCTGATGACGTTGAAAAGGTAACGGTTTTCTCTTGTGTCTGTTCATCGGATTTGTTGTTTGTCGGTTTGTTAAAGTGGCCCCCCTTCTCTGGGACGCAGAGAGCTGCCCCCCAGCAGCACCTCTGGTGGTGCCGACCCGGCACTTCCCTGGGCGGGACGATCAGATGGAGGAGCGGGCACCACATGTACAGCCGAAGGCTCACCGCTGCCCCCCATCACCGCCCCGCCACGTCACATATGTACACACACCACACAAGCACCACACATGTACACATACCACACACACCACGTTTATACACACTTATGTACACATATCCGCACACATGCACACCACACATACCATACATGTACGCACATGCACGCCGTGTGTACACACGCGTACATACACACCACGCACACATGCACCCCCAGGCCACTCAGACCCTTCCTTCAGCCAACATGCGTGCCACCCAGAAGTCACGGTGTGATTCAAAAGTATAAATCTTACAAACTTACAAAAAGCACCACTTGAAAGTTTAGTTTTTTTGTTTCAGTTTCTCTGATTGAAGATGACAAATACTGACTAAAGAAAAAAAGTTAATGTATTATGCAAAATCCACAAAGTCAAAAAAGTGTAAAATAAATTGAACTGTCAGATGGTGACTTCGGTGAGTTTGTGGCAGTCACACTTCTCAAGTGCAGGACCACGGGTCCTGTGTTTCCAGGAGGCCCCGCAGACAACACTCACGCAGCTGTGTGTTCCTTTGGCTCCAGCATGTCTTAAATCAGAAGGTAACGCAGGATTCTTGCCCATAGCTGCGTCCTGATCTCAGACACTGAAGTCACAGCATTGCTTCCTGCAGCTTGGTTAAAAAACAAATGGAAAACAATTGAAATTAGTGATTCTAGGTTAAACCTGGTTAAACTGTATATTTTACAATCAACATGTGGGGCTTTTAAACCTCCTTGTTTGGACCAGCAGCACACATTCAGGGGGACGACCTGCTCCCCTTCCTCGGGTGGGAGCCCCATGCCCCCCTCCCCAGGAGGGCCAGCGTCCCTGTTTCTGCTCCTTTGAGAGGAGTCACGTCTGTGCCCCCCACTTCGTTGCACTCGCACCACGGTTCACCCGCACTGCTGTGCACTTCAGCGCCTCCACGGCTCTTCCAGTGATGGACCGCCGCGTGTGCCCGGGAAGTCGGGGACGCAGAGGTGACGCCGGCCCTCGCTCTCCGCAGCGTGGGAGGGGCTGGGGTCGGCCGTGCCCTCGTGTGCGAGGGCGCCTCTCAGAGGAACCCCGGCGGGGACTTCAGAGTAAGCGGAGCGTGTGTTCCCCGACGGACGGCGGATGTTGCATCGTCCCGCCACGGCTTTGGACTGGGCCCAGCGAGCCTTTACCGAAGTCACCCCCAACCCCCGGTCCCCGCCCCCCCACGGTCGCCCAACCCCCAGGTCCCTCGCCCCACCCCGTCCACCCCCCTGTTCCCGCCCCTAATTGCCAACCCCCTTCTCCCCCGACC